TTTTATATAATCTATAAATCAAACCGTCCATAGAAAAAGCCCGAGTGCACTCATAAACGTACATACGCCACGTGCTGTATATATATCTGCACATAATTGCAGAATATCTTTTGTACGGGGCTGAGTTGACGTCACGAGGCGTGCCTGCCAGCAGATCTTTTGAATGTGTCTTATACTCGAGCACATCCTCTCTGGACTCGTTGCTGGATATATACATTGTACCGCGCCGAGGCTTTCATTCGCGCAATATGTATAACGCGCCACTCTGGTGCATTCGCAGTTATATATACAAAACACAAACATGCACAAACACGTATGCACATAGGCGACGAGCTGTCCGAGCTATTTTATCATCGTCTGACGTGACACATATGCTTTTTTCTTCAATTAAATTTGATGATAATCGAATGATATTATAACCATCGTAAATGTTCAGAAAAATATCTCAGTTTTATTTTTTCTTTTCAGAAACTCCTCGTATACATATATTTCTACACACATGTACTTAAAGATTGTCATAATTGCCAAACGTAAATGGCTCCGATGATTTACTGTTATGATCGGGTTCTCTTTAATAAAAAAACAGTCATATCTGCGCATAATTAAATTATTACAACTTTAAAAGCATATTAATAGCCCCGGGTATTACTGAAAAAATTACTCTCCACGCCGCTTATGACTCCGATGCATTCGAGGTTGTCGTAACGGCACCGTCTGATAAGCCCGCACGTACAGAAACGAGCCTGCCACATAATGTATATATACGTGACCACTCGATTTTCGAAATATTCAATAAAAGTTGTTGCGTTATATGAACCATTAGGAGAGCTCGCGGTTCTCGAGTTGTGACGAATGATGCATCGCTCGCGTACAATCTGCAGTTCTCGCGAGCTATTTAGCCGTCCATTTTCGTGCGCGAGCTCAATTATTAATACCGTGTTTGCATATTACGTACAAAACTTATGCGTGTTTACAAGATCATTCAGCGATCGACACATCGAGTGTCGAAAGTCGTGACAAGTAACGATCATACATACCTTACAGTGAATTAAATATTTTCAGAGCTCTGAATTTTGTAAAATAGAAAAATTTTTTATACATTTTTCTCTGAATATTATTGTAAAAATACTATAATGAATTTTTCATTTTCACTCTGACTTCGATATTGGGTTGAGTTTGAACATTCAGTACTTATATTGGTATTACAATTATGTAGTCTCATTAACGTGGTTAATGTCAACGTTTCTTAGAAATCAGTGTAGTTTTTTTTCATTAATTTAGAGGGTAAAATAGGAGACTGAACCAAAGCCTTTGTAAAGTCTACTATATTACCAGAATGAAGTGCTTATAGAAATATAATTATAAACGAGAAAAGTATACTTCTCTTTCGCGAAAATGCCAAAATTACAATAGAGCCACGTAGTGGTAATTGTTATGAATCAAAATATATTTTCCCTCTGATCTTTGATTCGTGTACACGATCATGTGGTTTGTTTACAAATGAGCGACATTGCAAATGAATGTTTCCGATAAATTTGATTATTTTGTTTCTACACAGCTAAGAGATCGACTCGTCGAGTGTCGTCGAATTCATCACAAATAGCGATCGCATACACCAGACCCAGTGAATCGACATAAATCTTGAGTGAGAATCTCGCGTGCGAAACTAATAAATCTTTAGAAAAAAATTACTCCGAGCTTACGCTGAAGCATGTGTGATCGTGTGTGCGCTTGCGCTGCCGTTGCTGGTACGCGTGGCTGGTGCGGGTAATGCCCATAATAAATAATGCGCGGGACACTCATCAATCTGCTAATTGATCGTTACGCTTTTTTTCATACATGCACATTCTCTCGCTCGAGCTGATATTGCGTGGCTGCTGCTGCTGCTGCTGCTGCTGCTGCTGCGCTCTCGAAACTCAATCGTCTTTGCGAATTCCGCTCGTACATGCCACGCGCGTACAGGCATAAATTCTATATAAGTAATCAAAATCTGCCCTAATTAAATCGTATCGAACGCGGCACTGCACACTGCCGGTCCACGATCGAGAATTATAATATCGCGAGGAGGCGGGTGGCGGTGGCTGCGGCAGCGGCGGCCCAGCTCTCAGCTCGCACAACAGCTCAATCCTTTTATTATATGACTCTGTACAACATCATTATGATAAAAAAAAGGCAAACAATGACGCAGGCAAGCTGTGTGCGCTTCGGTTCTTTTGACGCTCGCGAGCTCTCTCGGTAGTGCTACGTACCGTTATATAGGCAGTGCTCCTTTGATCTTTTATTGGGTAAAGCGAGAGTTGCAGCAGCAGCAGCAGCAGCAGCCTGAGTAACAGAGCGAAAGAAGGAGAAAAAACCTTTAGTCGCATCTCCTTTTGTTTTCGTTGCTCAAAGCTTACTTTTAATTGATCGGTTCCTTTTGCGTTATTGCCACATACGAGGGTCGGTACAGCTTCTCATCCAATGATGATTATAATGATGATCGTAATGATGATGATGATGATGATGATGCACAGGCGTGGATTGTATTATTATATGCTCGATTGCATTTTTTTCGAGCTTTGCATGCTTTGAAACGATCCACAGCCCTCCGTGCCCACACCGGTACCGTACAATAACCTACATACATAGTATATATAGCGCTTTACTCATAACTTTTTACAAGTGTTTCGCGCGAAGCAAAAATAAAGCGTCCGCGCCAACGTTTCGAAGGGTTCTCGAACGAGGAGACGAAAAAAATAATCTCGGAATCTTTTTAAGTGCGACGATACACGCGTGAGTCAAGAAGTTCAAAATCCGACTGGAACACTCCTTTGTCTGGCGCACGATGCATATAATGCTCGAAACTCGCGCGGTGTGTATCAGCACTTCCCGGAGAGGTGCATATAACGCTCATCATCGCCATCCACCCACCCGTGCCCGTTGTTCATACCGTACACGCATACACGTATGCAAATCAAAATAAATGCCCGAGCAGAAGTTTTATATACCCTAGGATAGAGTAGCGCAGTCGCCAACATCGCATGCATAGAGGCGCGCGTAATTCGTTATACACCGCGGAGCCTTTCCCACATGCGCACACTGCACATGTGCTTGCGCGAGCATCGATTTTACGCTTTATAATATATAATGTACGTTTCTCGTCTCGGCTGCGTACATACACACTGCCTCGCCGGAGATCGGACCGAACAATCGTCCACTGGGCTGGCGCAGCGCGTATCGCACCTTATATACCGGAAAATATAAGTGTCTTTTATATTTTATCTGGCGAAACACGCGTACTTAACGGTGTGTGTGTGTGTGTGGCGTTCGGTGGCAACAACTACGACGACGACTATCTCTCTCTCTCTCTCATGGAGCTCTCGTCGCGACCATACGTATACGGTCTCACCCGCGAGGAAATCCCCTGCCATTATCATTATTATCATTATTATTATCTCTGTCATGACCATTGTTAGCATCGGTATTATTATTATTGTCCGCGCGTACTGCGTGAGCGTGAGCCGAAGGAGCTCCTCTTCTCTCCTTGTTCTAGCGCACAAATATCGGGAAAGAGAGGAAGCTCGTTTATTGGGCGATTGTGTCCGCGTCGAGCAGCTCGAGAGTGTATTTATATTTATAAAAGTAGCCTCTCGATTATAGGCTAGAAAACGAGAGAGAGTAAGGTTTTATTGCCTGATTTCCGAAGGCAGATGCGTATTACGTACACAGATCGGCGCGCGAGTGGCTTGATGTACGACGCGCCGATCGCATCTTGTTATTTGTATAGAATTAGGTTTTGGAGACGTTTTATACCTGTGGGAGCCTTTAATAGGTGTATTTATACGCGCCGTGTGTATAAATATACTCGTATACATGGGCGCGCGATATAGGTGCCAAGATTTGTTGGGGGGACATTGACCTCCTTCTCGCTGTATATACGTATGCGAGCGCGTATCTATCTGCCCCGCGCGCGGCGGATCCGCGTATAATTGCATGCGAGCATATATCTATCGAACGCGTGCGTATAACGTATTTGATACGTATACACTTGTGCATTATAAAGTATGTTTACGCGAGGGGGAGAGGGGAAATCGCTAACGCATGTGGCAAATCTTCTGGAATTTCTGGCCGCGCGCGTCGAGTGCGCCGCGCGCTGCACGCGCTAAAATATCACTTTGGAGATAAATTCGTTTTTACGTAAGTGAATAGATACTTTTTGCACGCGCGCGCGCAAAAATATCGTCACGTTTTCTCGTTTGATAAATCGTCCGCTGTAACGGCAGCAGCAGCACCTTTACCTCGGCGAATATATAAATAAGCATATATAAAACGAGAGATGCGATTTATCTTGCACCTCTTGGGTAAAACAAACAGACAATCATCGGTATCGAAATCTAGCGCACTATTATCGTTAATGAGAGCAAAAAGTATTATATGCAGAGAGGCCCCTGGTATACTTGCCGTGCGCAGACGATTGAACAATAATCAATAATGCAGAGAGAAAGAGGAAGAGAAAGAAAAGAGAGAGAGAGAGAGAAAAGCTTCGCGCGCGCCCGAGCAGAGAGAATAACATCGATGAAATATCGATCGGTGTGCTTTGCATGTGTAATGTACTCGAGAGTCGTACTCTCTTGTGTGTGCCCGAGGCTATTAGCTCTATCGAGCGTTAAGCTATTAGTATATAACTGTGCGCCGCCACCGCCGCCACTGCAGCGTTGAGGGAATATTTACTCTCTTGTGTACGAGCTGCTTCTGCTGCTCCTGATGCCCGTGCGGCATATATTATGCCTGACGATTTAGTTTATAGTCGGAGCTTTTACGTAATACGACACTGCGCGCGATGCTCTTTCTTTCGGGCGAGATTTCGCTCGGCGATCCTCGTCGCACCGACTTGATTTATCGCTCGAATTATGAAAATTTTCAAAGTAATCGTATGATTTTTCAAAGCTATAATTTCAATACCGAACGATTTTCCTTGCTGCCCTTTTCTCACGTTGTCTTTGTTTTCTGTGTGCTTGCAGGCGGCTGGTCCGCCGGTCCAACTGGAGCCAGTGGACCTGTCAGTGAAGACGCCGGTCGTGCTGCAGGTGCCTCGCTACAGTCCAGCGGCGCTCATAGCCGCGGCCGCCTCGTCGGCTAATTGCCGCAAACCGTCGACGTCGCCCCTGTCGCTGTCGGCCGCGGCGCCCACGCCGACGACAAGTGCATCTTCGAGGAGGACGCCGCCGACACCCACGCAGACCATCACGCCGCCGTCTATCTGCGTCTCTACAGGTACTGTGAAGCCTCGAATAATAATAATCATAATAATTGATGGTTTCGATGCGAGATGTCTCGAATTGATTATAGTTATCTCGTAATAAAAAATTCGATTATTTAAAGTGTGGATTGAAATTTCCACGATAGTTGAAAGAAGTTGTGAAAAGTAATTCTTCAAATCTTACGTACCTTAAAATTTTAAAGAAAAATTAATTTTAAAGAGAAATAAGGCTAGTTATGAACGAAGAAATTAATTTTAAAGAAAAATAAGGCTAGTTATGAACGAAGAAAATATATTTCTCTTGTGAGATTGTGACTTTCGTATCATATAGCCCCCTAGCGGTAACTACAAACATCAAAATATATTTCCCCTCAAATCCTTTATTTATCTATACAATCATGTGGTTTGTTTACAAACAAATTCTAATGTGTAGTAAAGATTAAATTCAACGTCAAAATTTTGAAAACAATTTATGCTTTTTAATTGCAACACTAATTTTATCTCATTTTACATAAAACACCCTTTCGTAAATATGAAAAGTTTACAATGAAAATTATCAATTATCCTCTCTCGCGATATTACTTTTTAAAAATTTTATCGTACTTCACGGAAAAATCAACTTTGTTTTTTGTCGTCTGGTAGATAATTGACAAGTTTTAAACTCGCTCGCCCATAAGTAGACTTGATGAATAAAGAAAGAATCAAAAACAGAGAAAGAGAGAGATAAAGAGAGAGAGAAAAAAAATTAAACACTGCGGCCAAGAAGTTCTGAATGCTAATCCGTATATATACCAGGCCGTACGCACATGTGCGACCGTGTGCCGCCTTCGGAGAATCGCCCGGTCGTTTTCTATCTTATTTAGGCGCGTCGTTTACATGATGCAATTGCGCTTGTGGCTGCTTACTATATTGGCAGCTCGCGCTTACCGAAATGCACCACAAGGAAGCTCAAGCGCGTGGCGCGATACAATCGCACCACGACGATATGGCATAGCACGCGTGGACTCGTTGCAAATCTTCGATACGTATGGGCGAGCGTTCGATCAACCGGAAAGTTGAGCTTTCACGCGCTCGAGCGACACCTTGTTTTTACTGTCGATGGTATTGGGATTTCTTTCCTCATTGGAATGCCGCGTAATGCGCTAGGCTGACCGAACGCGCACCTCGCCATTGCGATTAGCCAATTGTCATGTTGTCGTATATATGTGTACGAGCGATACGTCGCGCGCGAGGAGAGTGATAAATTTATTTTCGATCGTCGAACAGCTGCAGCGCGCAGCTCGTTCATTGCGATTCGATCTTCGCTAGAAGAAAGATATAGTTGGTGTAGAGGAAGTAAAAAAAGTCACTTTCTTTGGCAATTCATCGTTTATACACTCAATACTAATAGCTGAATTGCCGGGTTTATATACTTTATTGTGAGCTAATTGCCGTATAGCTGAAATGCCGCGCGCGTATAATATAACCGCACGCGCGTTCGCGATAGACCTGAATGGACGATTATAAGAATGCAAAATTTATGGTCGTACGGCGAGTTAGCGACGTTTCTTTACTTTTTCGTTTCATTGTAGAGAGTGAGAGAGAGAGAGAGCGAATCTCGCGGACTCTACTCGGATCCTTATGGCATTTGCATATTTGCCAAGTGAATAGGTGCGCACGAGAAGTCGAGTACGTAGAGTGCGTTCAATGGCGAACTTGCTCCATTTGGGGATGAACGCATAATATATTTTCTTACGCTCTTTGCGACTGATTGTCCCGTGCGCGAGAGCTGAGTTTTTTCCTATCGCGATATAATAAAATATACATCGAACCTATAGTATATTTAATGCAGAGTTATATGCTTACAAGCTAATCAATTTATGAATATTCTCTTTTCTTCTATTACGCCAAATCTCAAGCAGCTTATGAATAATTTACGAAATTTCAATGTACCTTATTAGAGCGATAATCGCGATCGTAAGTCGAGTACTAGAAAACATCGAGAAGTATATTTATTTTATGTATTCCCGCTTGCCTCGAGGAAAAAAAAAACTTTTTAACTGTCTCTGCTTAGCCTTTGAGTCACTGCCGATATACTCTATTTTACTATTTAATTATACCATATCTCGACCCTCGCTGCACTCGCGGTAATCTATTAAGACCAAGAATCACTGAGCGTTTCTGTACTGCAGCTTCTCGCACCTCCATTGCCAGTAAAAATAATCCGATCTGAGCTAGGAGAAGAAAAAAAAAAGCCCGAGTCGATAATCTTCTCGCTCCACTTGAATGATAATAAAGTGGTAATGTTACTCTAATGCTCGTAAATTTCATTATTTAGTTCATATACGCAGTCGTACGTATATATAATTCCTGTGCGCATCGCGCCATTTATTATAAGTTGCATCATTTGTCAAAAAAAAGTATTTATATATATTATGCGCTTTAACCGGTGCGCAGCGGCCGCTTATCGACGCCCGCGCGAGCTTTCTTTGTGAACAGTGCGCGGGCCGTTACATCTCATTCTGCATAAATCCGAAAGATGTGTTTAATGCTTGAATTTCACTTTATTATGTCTCGAGTGCGAACTTATCGCGCTAAGAAGGCGCTTTTGAGAAATCGGCGCGGCGCCGTTTATGTATGTGTGTCTGTATACTATAGGCCGTTACGCAACTATTTAAAATAAATTTATAGACTCGCGCACAATACGTATATATGTATGTATGCAGCGGCGCAAACGAGCGGCGCAATTAAACGTACGCGTGGAAGCTGCTTTTCCATGTTTTATAATATAACAATCCTTTCTAATTCCGTGGAAGAGGCGTAGCAGTGGCGGTAGTGGTATTATATAGCTGTAGCTGTATATGCAGGCACGATGGGGCGAGCAAAAAAAAGTTGCATTTAATCGCGGAAGTCGGGTTGCGCATGTATTAAAAGTCATCGTTCGGAGCGTCGAGTGAATAGATATTATACGAGTGCGATTCAAGCGCGTATATAGGTGTTGCCGCCGCCACCGAGCTTTGACGATGTAGGCACACACATGGATTTTTTTTATCTCTCACCTCCGATCCGTGGAAACTCGACGTGCGGCACCGTGTGTGTATGTTTGTGTGTGTGTGTTGGCGCATTATATGGGTTTGCGAGTCTGTAAACCGTGTACTTTATTCGTCGCGTCTCGTTTAATTTTCATACACCTATATATAGGTGCGTAGATTCTGCCGGCGCGGAGCGCTACACAGTCGCGCGCGGTACACGAGCACCCCGACAAAGAGCTCCTTACGTGGGACGCACCGAGTGTTTTCGTTGCGATATTATAAGAAACTCAACTGCGGAGGAGCTTGGGGATTTTTGCATATCGAGGACGCACAATCTCTATTTGTACGCGAGTACTCGATCAATCAAAGAAAAAAAATATTGAAAGAAAAGAAAAAGTAAAAATAATCGGTAGCTCGAAAAGTCATCGTCGTGTATACGCGCGTGATAAGAAAGAACTTGAAAGTCGAGAAGGAGAAAAGAAACGGGATCGACTTGGGGCTCGGTAGCGATAGTCGCTATTAAAGGGCTAAAGCATATGCCATATATACCCACACACATAACGTGTATTAAGTAGCTCCTCTTCTCGAGCTCGTTCACGGCGCACTCACGTTGATTGTCACTGATTAATTATACTCAACCTGCGCTGGCGTGGCGTGGCGTGGCGCGGATTCATCTAGCTCTCCGTCTTTTTCCTATACGTCTTTGCCACGATTTTTTTGTCCCTCGCGCCGCCACCGGCTTCCAAGGGGAATACCCCGGATTTTTTTTTCTTTTCGTGTGTTTCGTATACAAGTATAAGTGTAGCGAGCGCGTACACACATACTGTGTGTGTGCATTTTTTTCCTCTGCCCGTTACTCGCGCTAGACAATGTGCCACTACGAGCGCGAGAGGGAAAACGCGTAGTATTTTAATTAATTTATTTGTTCTCTCGGATCTGTGCGTTCCTTATATACGCATACACACACACGCGATGAGCTGGGGTTTCCGCTGATTTTATTCCATATTAAACCTTTATCTAACCGATCCAAATAGGCGCGGTGTGTGCGAACGCGCGTCTTTTGATACATTCCAGAGAGAGGGACGAGATAGCGCTCGAAATCGAAAGAAAAAAGAAATGGCATAAGCGAAATATTCGAAGCTCGCGTCGTTCTCACGTGTATAATTCCTCCCTACGCGCGAGCACACGTGTGTGTGTGTGCACAGTAGAGAACGATACCTTACCCTTGCACCGATAAAAGGTGAAAAAATCTATCGAATCATCGCTCGCTCGCTCGGCCGAGCGCGTTCGGCCCGAAAGGCGAGAACAAGAAGATTATACATCGAGTAGCTCTCGAGCAATGTGGAAATACTATATTATTGCATAGCGCTCGAGCTGCAGCATCTAATGCCTCGCGCGCATATACACTGTATACGTATATGCCTATATAGCGTTGCATCGGGAGGGAAGATGCTATCGCGAAATTCGCGTCGACGTCTCCCGGCTGCTACTTGTCTTACGCGGCGATCGGCTTGCGAGCGCAGCAGCAGCAGCAGCTCAGCTCGTGAGCAGTGCCTCGCTTCGAGCTTTGTTGTCAAAAACACCCTCCTCCTTCTTCAGCTGCTGCTGCTGCTGCTCGAGAGGAGAGCGCGACTGATATAAAGGCTCATTTATCAGGCAAAAGCAACACATAAACTATAAAAGTATCGAAAAATTTTTCCGCGCTATCGGCTTTCGACTGCATACAAGCGGCTGTACACCCATAATACGTATATGGTATATATGTATCCTTTATAAATTTCTCGCTCGCGCCTGTTATAATAGGTGGAGCTTAATATTATTAAAGGGTGGTGTAAGATAATACGACTATTATACAGCCTCCTATACGTATATACGTTCTCTCTTCTATTGTGCGTGCTGTGCTGTGCGGCCGCGCGCCGCTGCACCGCAGCGCATCTCTCTTTTTCACGCGCGCGAAGATCTCGCGCTCGCTGCGGCAGCGATAATAATGATGATGATGATGA